TCATTGGAGTGATATATTGGCATTTTATATTATAGAATGTCGAAATTCTCAATTTGTGATGTTAGATGAATTTTGATTAACAATTTAAATCTTGTAATTTAAAATTTTATTGTTAAATTATAAAACTAAAATTATTGTATGGCACTACAGTGGGAGCCAAACTGCAAACTCATAATCTAATAAGACCAAATTTTCAATTTAGCCTTTCTGAAATTTGATTATGTTGTAAGAGTAGATCAATCACAATGGACATATTCATGCTAAATTGGATACACAATATACACACACACACACAGTCACACAACATCATAGTGGTCCGAACTTCAGCGAATTCTAGCCACATGAAAATGAAAACTAAAGACGTACGGAAAATGAAAATAAAGATAAAATGAGGGTGAAAAACAAATATATAGTATGAATAGGGGACTCATTTGGAAAAGAGAGGATAAAGAATAGTTATGCTTGAGCAACAGACAAATTCTGACACTGCCATGGATTGAACTCGAGGGACGAATTATCGATTTCCGATTCTCCATCCAAAGCTATGATCAACCGACGCACGATGTTGTGCGTATTTTCCGTTGAAATTGTAAATTTCCAAATCGCCCCAAGGTCACTCGTTAAATCGAACCACTTGGGTTTAAACTCGTCGCCATTTGCCTCCCTTGTTCTCTTTTCGGCTCGTTGCCTCTCCTCAAGTCTGGAAAACATGATATAACCAATCAAAATCGATGACAAAATATTTTCCCTAATTTTTAAGGAAGAAAAAAAAAAAGGTTGCCTTTGTCAAATGTTTTCTAGGAAATATAATTTAAGAAACTATGAAAAATAAATAAATAAATAAATAATAAAAAAATTAAAATAAAAAAAAAAACGAAACGGGGTATGTTTGGTTGATAGTGATTGAGATGGATAAAGATGAATTATGCTAATTTGGTTTTTTGATGGCTTATGTTTTGTGTATTTTAAATGCTAAATAAACTTGTAGTTCTATGAAGTTTATTTTCAAATTCATGAGTTTGGGTATATATTTCTTGTTTGAGTTTTAATTATATATATTTTATTTTGTGAACTGACAAATGACTTTAAGATATTCAACACGATTGTTTCAATTTTAGAACCATAAATGAGTTTGGGTATCTATTTCTTGTTTGAGTTTTAACTAGTGAGAATCTCGTGCGATGCACGAGAGTTTCGTATCTTATAACATTTTTTAAAACTTTATTTTAACAATATATTAGCTAATTGATCCGTTTATATTAATATAAATAATATTGTAACACATATATTTATTGTTTAATAAAGAAAAAATAATAATTTTACATATTTTTTTTTCATTATAAAGGAAATTTTACAAAGTCGGTTGTAATCCGCTGCCAGGACAAAAAGAGAGGGGAATAGGGGGTGAAGTCAGTAGGGCTGCCATTAAGATGTACCGAGAACGTGCAGTGCTCCACGCACGCCTCCACAAAACTAATTCAACGCTCAGGGAAGCCCATTCGAAACAAAACCTCCCTGAAGAACGGCCATTCGACCCTGTCATATGCCTTAGACATATCTAGCATTAGCACAAGATTCGGGGCTCGTAATCGGTTCGCATGGGAGATGTCATGGATCATCTCCTGGGCCAAAAGGATGTTATCACTGATGACTCGATCCTTGATGAATCCACTCTGATTCGGAGAGACTAGGGAAGGGAGGAGGGGGGCTAGACGACCATTAAGGATCTTGGAGATGATCTTGTTGGTGACATTACAAAGGCTGATAGGTCTATAATCGGTCCAGAAAATCGGGTTAGGTCTCTTAGGTATCAAAACAATAGAGGTCGCTGAAGGAATTCGGCATCTGGTGTCCCGAAAAAAAGTCCACCACAGCTTCCTCAACGTCAGTCTCCACAATCTCCCAGCATGTCTGAAAGAAGAGAGACGAAAACCCATCCGGACCAGAGACACTGTTGGGATCAATCCCAAAAACAGCCTCCCTGATCTCCTTCCTACTCGAGAGGTCGCAGAGGTCAACAGGGTCGACTGACTGCGGGATGGTGGGGAAAACGGAAGCGTTGGAAAGCAAGTCGCGATCTGAGGTGAAAAGGGACTGGAAGTGTGTCACAGCCGACTCCCGTATATGGGACTCCTGAGTCAAGAAAGACCCGTTATCCTCAATAAGATGGATATACGACTTAACCCGCTTCTTCCTCACAAACCCCTGAAAGTACTTGGGATTACGTTCCCCCTCCGCAACCCATCGAACCGCAGCCTTCTGCTTCCAGAAATCCTCCTCCATAAGGAGGCGGATCTGATACTCAGCATGGCAGCGGCGCATCGCGGTCCTATTCTCTGGTGATGAATCCAGATCATAAGCTCGCTCAACAACTGCATACGCATTCGGAGCTGCAGCTAGGTGCTGAGAAATGTCTCCAAATGCCACTACTTCAAAACGCGCCTCAGTCTATTAAGCTTCACCTCCAGGTTTCGCATCCCAAAAAGCCCCGTCGGATTGTGCCAACAAGCCCTAACCGTGTCATGGAACGTGTGGTGGCAGGTCCACATGTTCTGGAACCTAAAGGAGGAGCGACGTGGGGTGCTCGAAAACCGACACCGGATAAGAAGGGGAGCGTGGTCAGCATTAGATCGGATGATAAATTCTAATTTATTTCATTGAACACCAATCTCATGTGAACCCAACCCATGAATATGAAATTAAACAATTTTAAATTTTGTTTTTTATTGTGGTTGCTTTGATTTAAAATAGTGATGTTGTATTAAAAATTTATATGAATGCTTTCAACAATGTATTTGTTTGTATCACGAAGATATGTTTATTTTATTTTCACCTAGTCTATGAAAACAAAAACACTACTATTTAAAGGTAAAATTTAAGTTTTGTTCTCCTCTTTTGTTAATAAATATACATATTAAATAAGGATAACAGTGTACGTAACATTTGAAAAATTTATTAAGGAAAAATAGATCTATCTTTTTGGATACTCTGAAAGTGATACTTGTTCATTTTTATTAAAGAAAAATATATCTATCTTTTTTAATACTCGAAATTGATATTTGTTAAATTGGCAAATATTTAAAGGTATCAAATTAATTGGCAAAACAATTTTCTGTCATGTGCAGGTAAAGAGACTCTCATCAAAGCAATCTTGGAGGCAGTCCCATTGTATGCAATGTCTTGTTTCATCCTTTCCAAAAAGGTATGTGCCAACATTGCTAAACTCTTTACTGATTTTTGGTGGAGATCAAAAAAAGAAGGCACAGGAGGCATTCATTGGAAATGATGGGCACTGTTCACCCTCCCAAAAGAAAAAGGTGGCCTTGGTTTTCATGATATTCACCTAATGAAGAAGGCCCTGAGCTCAAAACAGCTCTGGAGGCTGAGCAATAACCCTGAACTCCTGGTTAGCAGAGTTATCAAAGCTAGATACTTCCCCAAAACAACTCTGATATCAGCCCAACACAAGCAAAATGGATCATGGCTCTGTTCTAGTTGGAGGAAAACTCTGGATTTCTTCTCCCAAAATGTCATCTACTCAGTAAAATCTGGCTCAAAGGTTAGCATTTGGGATCACCCCTGGCTCCCTACACTACAGCATCTCAAACCCAAACCCTCAAACCCTTGGAGACAACACTTTGCATGGGTGCATGACTGTTGGATGGTACTGGCAGAAATTGGAATGTGAAACTTGTGCAGCAGTACTTCCCACCTGATGAAAGTTCAACAATTCTCAAACTCAAAGGGCTTGATCCCCACAGCAAAGACAACCTCTTAGGGATCCCCAACAAATCAGGAACCCTCACAATAGCTCAAGTCTATAATGCTATAGTGGAGGACAAATGGAAAAGGTTGGACATCCCAGAAAGCAGCTCTTTAGTGGCTGACTCAGTTATAGCTAGTAGAAAATTGTGGTCTCTTAAGGTTGCAGGGAAGCTAAAACATTACATCTGGAAATGTTGTTCAAACTCACTCCCTGCCAACCTGAACCTTGCCAAGAAAATCAAATTTTTTGACACTATTTGTAAAACATGTGGCATTGAAGATGAATCCCTGGAGCACCTACTTTTCCACTGCAGCAAATCCAAGGTGGTCTGGAAACTGGCTGCTATATCATGGGATGGCCTCTCAGATTACTCCTCTTGTTTCAATCATTGGTGGATCAAACTCAGCTCTCTAAAAGCCTGTGCCTACCATGATCATCGCATCCAACTCACTGTGTACTTGTTATGGTGAATTTGGAAGGCCAGGAATCTATGGGTATTCCAAAATTTCTGGCTTTCAGAGTACTCCATAGTGCAATCTGCCACTTCTGCTTGGTTATAATACTCTAACATTTAGGTTGTTTATATTTATTTTCCTTCTCAGCATAGCTTTTGTTCTCTTTGTTTATTGGTAGTTGGTTTTTGCTATTTTGTTAGGCTGTAGCAGTAAGCTTGCTAGGTGCCTTCGGTTTCAGTGGCAAGTTTACTATTTTGTTTAGTACTGATTTCTAGTACGGCTATTTCAAACCTCAATTCCGGTCTTCATAGCCTCTGTCTATGCCGGAAATTGATGCTTTGGAGTAGTTTTCTTATTTGCTATTCTCTAGGAAGCCGTATGGGTGATCCTCCTATTCTACCTTTGGGTAGCTCGTGTTGTTATATTTGTACATTTTGCTTCGGATTTTATAAAGTCTATCGCTGTGAAAAAAATAAAATAAAAAAGAAATTGATATTTGTTCATTTTTTTAATATTTTGCTTCTGAGTTTATAAAGTTTATCGTTATGAAAAAAAATAAAAAAGAAATTGATATTTGTTCATTTTTTTAAGATGGACAAAGTACAATAGTATTCCATGTTAATTAACAACTTTTAGAAAATAAATTAAAATAATTAGGAGCAAAAATGACTTCCTTCAATTCATGCCATTAACAAAACTAACCCGAGTAGTTTTAAATCCTAGTTACGTCCTTGCAAGTGTGCCAAGATTGCTATGAGTATTCATGAAATTCGTTTGTATTATACTATGAACTTTGTGATCAAAAGGTTGTTGACCTCAGCAGGCTCCCAACAGGACATGGAAAATAGCACCCGCCCTTTCCAACTCATCAACAGCCACTGGTTCTCCTCCTCCACCACGAAATCCCGGTGGTACGAACCCTTCACCTTCCTCATCACCCAGCCCGTCAGCTCCCTCCCGAACGACACCTGTCTCAACCCCGCCTCAACGTGTCGCACGTGCCACTGCCTTCGAGTTTCGGGCCTCTCGACCCTATCGGACCCTTCGCACCCCACCACATTCATTATATCCTTTCGAAACATCCCCTCGAACAGCATTCTCCCGGGCTTATTTCCTCCGGGCATGCTCGTCGTCTCCAACATGTCAAACAGTGCCGAGAATTTGAAGAAAGCCTCCCGAAAACGCGTGGGAAACTGGGGACTCCCGCCGCCGTACGCTGCGTCCACCACGCCGTGCACGAACACGTCCGGCCCGATTCCCCGTATCAGCTTGAGAACCGCCGTTTTCGACTCGTCCGGTAGGTTCTTCGCGCGGTGCGAACACGTCACGGCCAAGAATTCTTCGTCGGGCTCCAACTGGAAGTCGGCCGTGCTGACCGACTCCCACTCCCAAGCGACGATGCCGGAGAACTCGAACGGGACGCCGAAGGCCCGTGCGTAGCGGGCCAGCCGCTCCCCCGTCTCCTCCATCATCTTGGTGGGCCCGGGGCCCAGCCTGGGTAATTCGACGCCGGTGATGCGGAGCCTCGGGGGCCCGCCGGGCCGAAGGGCCAAGCACCGGATGAAGATCGGCCAGTGGAAGCCGTAGAGGATTCCGAAGTCGATGACGTGGACACGGGCCGAGCCAGCCAACCGGGCCGTGAGGAGCTTGTTCAAGACGAGGGTGGTGACTTTCAGAAACGGGAAAGACGCGATCGACGTGTAGTAAGTCTTGAGGCACGTGGGGGGGGAGATCATTAGTGATTTGTACACCTGGCCGCCAGTCCCTGCCAGGCGGGCCTCAAGCCCGTCGGCAAAGTAGTGGGCCAGCCTCTCGGCCCAGTCGCCGTTAGGGGACGAGTTCCCTCTGATTTCAGTTAGGAGAGCAGCCGCGGCTTGACGGTCGCCCGACGCCACCATTTGGGCGCATTTCATCAAGAGGGTCGACCAATCGATCACCTCTTTTTTAACCTTGTGAGACTTACCGAGTCGGGCCTTACTCACCGGGTTTTGCACGTCTTTCGAGTCACGGTCATCATCGAGCGTGGAGAGCAAGAGCTTGTCGAATTCTTCTATGGGGATGTCGGACTCCGTAAAAACTTGGGGATTCTCGGTGGTTCTTGCTCCATCTTCGCCCGGTTTTACCACTGTATTTCCACATTCCGGAGGATTTTGAATCGTGACTTGGATAATGTGCAATGTTTTACCTTCCCTTGGGACGGAATTAGCCCCGCGCACAACCCCTTCTTTAAAATCCCAAACCACTTCACTTCCACCAAAAGATCTTTTATGCTTTACCATGCGATACAAGCCACTCGACTGGCTAATGGAGGAGTCGGACGGGACAATGAGACCGTCAAACGGAGCCGTGGGAGTTTTGAATCGGCTTTCGTGGGACGGTTCTTGCTGCGGAGAAAGGGGGTATTTTTGTCCGAGCACCTCGTAGAAGGATCTCTCGGTCGCCTGAAAATCCGACGACTCTTGGAGAGTGTGGGCCCCATCGTCGGTGTCCTCTTCCATGAGAATCTGGTCAATGTATCTCAAGGCGGCATCCGACATATCACAACCATTTCGTCTGTTGTGGTCATCGATGGTTGATATCTGGCCTGAAGAAGGAAAAGAAGACTCTTTGTCGAGCTCCCGGTCGGGTAATTCGGCTGTGGATTGGACAACCGAAAAAAATCCATGGGATGAATTCAAGTGTTCATGATGAAGCAGACCCATTTTTCCTGACAATTCAATCAGGGAAAAAACAACAAAGAAAACAAAGAAAAAAGAACCTCAAAATTTACAATATAATCAATACAAACTAAAAGTAAAAACTCAAGAAGCAACCTTAGTTATGATGGAGGTGAGAATGTGTGATGTTTTATGTTTTACCTTTGGTTTGTATAAATTGAACCCAAATAGCTGTGACAGATGATAATCAAAAAGTTTTGATGACAGAATATTGAAGGGGATTTGTTCTTTGAATAAGTTGGTTGATTTATGTTGAAAATAAGAAGATGCCCAATAGCGTGATGATTTTCTTTCATGAAAATATGAGCCATGTGTATTTTGTCCCAACTCCTATGGCAAACTATGAAAAAAGAAGAGTCTTTTCTCTTGATTATTTTCTATTCGAGCGAGGGAATCGAAGTCGAATCAACATCGACTTTCAATGCACCACTTGTCTTGGTTTGTTGACTTCCGTTCTTCCTTCTCTTTTCACAAACTTCCTTCCCGCTGAAATTTCTGTGGATGATGATTCATTCAACTTTTTGAAAACTAAATTTGTTCTTATCTATTTATCCCCTCTATATATAATTTCATAATGTACTGAGCCTACGTGACAAACTCAAACTCTCATGCTTCAGAATCATATTTAACAAAAATTCATGCTTTGGAGTTAGACTTGGATATAAATTAATATTTGTATTAATTGTATTTTAATATCATTTCCTATTATAACCATTGAATTACAAATATATTTTAAAAGTTGATAACTTTTGTATTTCTTATCGATTTTACATATATAATATATCAAATTAATCATCTTTTGATGAGCTTCGATTTGACATCCATATTGTATATAAAAAATGAATAAATTATATTTATCTTTATAATAATAATAAAATTATTTATTAAAATTAATTAAAAAATAACTATAAAATAATAGAAATTGTATGTATTCTTTTAAAGATGATATTTATTTCAAATCAATGTAATAAAAATAAATAATTATTTATCTAAATTCTAAAATTACATATAAAGTTAAAAAAAACTCTGAAGCACGAATGATACGACACTTGATGTATTAGGCATCTAATTAAGTAAAAAAATTAATTTATTTTGTTTAATACTAAATAAACATATTCTACACTTATGCATATACATATCTTCATATTATTTCTATTTATTTAAGATATATATATTTTTGTACTTATGTAATAATAAATAATATCGATATTTTTATATAATATAAGTAAAAAAAAAAAATCAACACGGATTGACATTTTCATTTAATGTACGGGTGTTTAATTATTATAATTAAAAAAGTATAATTTGACAATTTAATTAAAATCCAAAGTAATGTTTTATATAAAATTAAATTATTTTAGTTTTTAAAAAAAATAAAAAAATTTAATATTTTTTACAAAAACTTTCTAATTCAACACACGTGTAATACACGGGTATTGTACTAGTATATATATAAATAAGAATTACCATTTACTAAAAGTAGTAGCAAAAAATTTAGGAAACATTTAATGCATATTATTTTTGCAAATTTTTTAAATATATACATTAATTGCTTCCATATACATGTTTTCAAATAATATCAAATAAGATATGATCAAAAAATTACTTAAATAAATTTATTAATATCTGTAATATTTACATTGATATTTATTATAATAAATTATAATATTGATTTTCCGTGATTCATGTTGATAATAATTTGATCAAATAAATATTATTTTATTAATATTTGTAATACTTCATTGATATTCATTATAATAAATTATAAGATTGATTTTCATGATCCATGTTGATAATATTTTGGTCAACATAAATACTACACCATATTTTAAGTTCTAACCATAATATTATCTTTTTTTTTTTCACAAATATTCACTTTTTATCCAAAAATATTTATGAAAAATCGTAACAGGTTAGGTAGAATTTTTTTTCCAAGAAATCAGACAAAATCAAGTTGGTGAATTAATCTTTGCCAATATATTTTTTTCTTAAGTTTTATTTTGTTAAATATAAAAAATAAATTTTTCTTCAAATTAATATAATTTACCATTTAAAAGATAATGACCAGATACATTAAAGAATTTTACTAATAGTAAAAAATAAAATTAAAATATATTAACTATTTTTTAGAATTTATTTGTATATTATTGGCACCCATGATTATTTTTTTTTATTTTGATTTATTTCTATAATTAAATTCTTGTAAAATACATTTTCATTACAGAGTATGCTAAATAAACTATAAATACGTGTAATGTGAATTAGAAAAATCTTGATCATAGAATGGATTGAGTCTTTGGAATTTTCTAAATCAAAGTTGTTTATTTAGTATACAAAATTAAATTCTAAAAAAACATGTGTATATTTTGCAAAATATTTATACGCTATTTAATTTTAAATTTATTTACATATTTTAAATTGATTACATAAATAAATAATAATAACGTGCATTAAATATTTTTCATTACATAAAATAAAAAGAAAAAGAAGACGTACAACTTCTATAACTTTATAAATAATAATGATATTATATGGTGAACAAGAATAAGTAAAATTGTTATTCTCTCTTATATCAAGGAATAAATATATATATATATATATTAAAATCAAATTTATATTAGTATAAATGTGTTAGTGAGATAACATATTAATTATTTTACAAACTAGCCCTAACTAGAGCTGTCAATTTGGCCCGCGGCCCGCGGGCCGCCCCGCCCTGCCCCACCAAAGGGACGGTTTGGGTCGGGATTTTCTAGGCCCGCTCAACGGGCCAACCCGCGCGGGTTGCGGGCCAGGACGGGGCGGGCTAGCCCGCGGGCTGGCCCGCCCCGCCGGCCCGTTTTGACAGCTTTAGCCCTAACATGCTCATATTTAATATTTTGACAAAAAAAACAACGGTGATTAAAAGAGGTGCAAAATAGATTGGAACCTTATCGTTTATTACACTTAACGTTGACTAAAATAGATGATAACCATATTGCTTTATATACTTAAAGGGACAAAACCTGTGAAAATAACTCATTTAACATTTCTGTCTCGTACATTGCACGGAATACGTACTAATTAAATTATAATCGTAATTTAGGTCTCATTGGAGTGATATATTGGCATTTTATATTATAGAATGTCGAAATTCTCAATTTGTGATGTTAGATGAATTTTGATTAACAATTTAAATCTTGTAATTTAAAATTTTATTGTTAAATTATAAAACTAAAATTATTGTATGGCACTACAGTGGGAGCCAAACTGCAAACTCATAATCTAATAAGACCAAATTTTCAATTTAGCCTTTCTGAAATTTGATTATGTTGTAAGAGTAGATCAATCACAATGGACATATTCATGCTAAATTGGAGACACAATATACACACACACACACAGTCACACAACATCATAGTGGTCCGAACTTCAGCGAATTCTAGCCACATGAAAATGAAAACTAAAGACGTACGGAAAATGAAAATAAAGATAAAATCAGGGTGAAAAACAAATATATAGTACGACTATGGGACTCTTTTGGAAAATAGAGAATAAAGAATAGTTATGCTTCAGCAACAGACAAATTCTGATACTGCCATGGATTGAACTCGAGGGGCGAATTATCGATTTCCGATCCTCTATCCGAGCTATGATCAACGGAGGCACGATGTTGCGCGTATTTTCCGTTGAAAGTGTAAATTTCCAAATCGCCCCAAGGTGTCGAAGCTAATTCACTCGTTAAATCGAACCACTTGGGTTTAAACTCCTCGCCATTTGCCTCCCTTGTTCTCTTTTCGGCTCGTTGCCTCTCCTCAAGTCTGGAAAACAGATAACCGACAAAAATCGATGAACAAATATTTTCCCTAATTTTTAAGGAAGAAAAACAAAAAGATGTTTTCTATAAAANGGGAAAAAAAAAAAAAAAAAGGCAGGGTTCAAAGTTTAAACCTGCTCTTTTCCAAACCAGCTTTGGATAAATCACCATGCTCGAGCGCCAAACGGTCTGAACGCAAGCGAGAATCCGAAGGGAGTAACATTTTTGGTGCAGTGTCAAAGCTGTTTAATTTGTGCGCAAAATACGTGTACTGAAACTTATCGTCTTTTGGGGCATCAGCAACCTTCCAAACCTATCAGGCAAGAATTTATCAAGAAATGGATTTTTTTAATTTTCTTTTTCTTTCCCAAAAATGCTCCCTTGTCGATATGACGACCAATTAAAATATTGCCGGAGTCAAATTTAATTCACGAAGGTACCTCTTCCAGTTTGGAGCCGGGCAATGGTTCTCCTTCAGAATCGCAAGGCTGATAGCTCATGAACTCGTTCCATTTTCCAGTCATCAAGAATTTAGGTTCTTCATCGGCATTGTATACATATCCATCCACTTCATATCGACCGGCACTGTACAATCACAAATTATGATGAAATTTTGCCCAAGATAATCTTTGGAAACACCTGCAGCTGTTAACGAACATAGCGTTTGCGAACAAAAGCTCGTTCGTTTGTTATTCGAACCGAGCTCGAATAGAAAATTAGGCTCAATTAATAATCGAACAAACACGAGCTCATTCTTAAGTTCCAAGTGAAAGCTTGTTGCAGTGTAATTGTGTATATAATAATAATATAAACCACCAAAATTTCGGGTATAAACAATTAGGTAAGAAAACTCACCCGAACCACCCACAGGGTTGGAAATACAAAACAACCTTATCTCCTGTGGTGAGATTAGTCAAAATCATATCACCGGGCGAATCAACCCACGTTCGTCCGAAAATGATATTGTTTGCTTTCGAAGGAGGAGGGACCAAATCCAAAACCACGCCCGACTTTTTAAGGGTCAGCCTTGTCCTGTACCATATACATAATCGAAGCACAGTACAAAAATAAGCAGCTCGAAAATGAAACAGACGGCAAATCAGTCGAGTTTTCTTGAGTGGGAAGTTACGGGAAGATAATGTAATATAAACATTGTTTTTGACATGAGAATAGCTTATGTACCTTCCAACAGGATATATATCGACTGAATTCCCTAAAAACTTGGTCTTCACCTTTGACGTAATATCGTACACAAAATGGTTGTTTTCCGCATGAGCTGCGCTCATTGGAGGGTGATGGCTCACCTGATAATTAAAATATCATCCAGTCAAAGAAAAACACGGAAGAAATGTAATAGCAACAGCATTATAAAATGACCAATATGAGGATCACCTGCTCGGCAATAAATGTGATGCCATCATGATTAACCATTTCATAAGTTTCGCCAAGAATCGGATTAAATGGCTTCCAGGTCCTTTGCAAAGCGTAATACACAGAAACGAACCAAGCAGCTGAAGGAAACATATTTCCATCAGAATTGATTTATAAGGATCAGTAGGAAAAAAAAAATGATGTTTAGATATCTTTTGGATTTGTATGTACTGAACAATAAACCATACTTAGTGCCACATATGGAATTGAGGCATATTTGTAAATTTTAGATTATTATTTCTTTCTTTATAATAATAAGGCTGAAGCTTAGGGGCTAAGTGAAAGTTACACAACAGAACGCATTACCAGCATAAACCAGTCTCATGTGAGGATCCTCACATTCATCAGCCAATTTCAATAGATGAGAGTATTCCATTAGCTGCAAACAAAATTTTGCATCGTTTATATTTACTCCTTGAACTTAAAAACACAGTAAACAGCAATCGAGTGAGATAAACCAAAAACCTCTGCCATCTTCTGAAGCATTGACATGGGCTCAAAGATGAGAACTGGAAGTGTCACCATTGACGTGATATCCGACCCAATATACCGTTGCATCATTTTCCAATAACTGTCACGGTCCTGAAAAAGAAAACTCAAATGTTATGAGTTTGATGAGCAAAAAGAGTAAATGACATGCGGTATACTATACAACAACAACAAACCGTTAAAATCCCACTAAGTGAGGTCGGCTATATGGATCGCATGTCACCATCGTGCTCGATCAAAACACATATCCTCATTCAAATTTAAATATTTTAAATCATTTTTATTATTTCCTTCCAAGTTTTCTTAGGTCTGTCATCTTTCTTTTAATTTGTGTTCTTAAATCTAATGTTTCTATCCTTCTCACCGGGACTCAAACTCTCCTATGTACATTCCCAAACCATCTCAATCGTGATTCACTCAATTTCTCCTCTATGGGCGCTACCCCAACTTTATTTCTAATACTTTCATTTCTAATTTTATCTAACCTAGTATGCGCACACATCTCTTAACATTCTCATCTCTACCACTCACATTTTTTGATCATTTTCATGTTTAGCAGCCCAACACTCGGATCTATAAACCATCATCTTCGACTATTCGATAGAACTCTTTCAAACTCACTTGTACTTTACGATCACAAAGTATTGAGCACGCACTCCTCCACTTGTTCAATCCCGATTGAATTTTATGTGTTACATCCTTATTTATGTTGTCATTATCTTCTAGAATGGATCCTAAATATTTAAAACTTTTTAGATGTGTTCAATTTGTGTTCTCTAATTTTAACCTTTACCCAATTATTACTCTTTAGATTACTAAAATTACACTCCTTATATTCTGGTTTGACCCTACTTATTTTGAAACCCTTTATTTCAAGCGCCTCTCTCCATGTTTCTAACTTAGCATTTACCCCCTCTCTCGTCTCATCTACTAACACTGTGACACCTGCAAACAACATGCGATCGGTGACATCCAATTGCAAATGTTTCGTAGTTCATCAACGTCGAACCTTGATGCAAACCAATAGTGATAGAGAATTCACCTAATATCCCTACTAGTGTCTTAACACAATTTTTCATATCATTTTACATATCTTTTATGATTTCTATATAACCAACTCGCACCTCCTTGTTTTCTAACACTCTCAACATTATATCTCTATGAACATTATCACTAGCTTTTTCAAGGTCAACCATATGCAAAATTTTATTTTTTTCCTATTAAAATGTTCACAAAATCTCCTTATTACATAAATAGCTTTCATTATTGATCTTCTCGGCATAAAGCCAAATTGGTTTTCCATTATGTTTGTTTCTTGCCTTAATCTAGTTTCTATTACTCTCTCTCATAATTTCATCGTGTAACACATCAGTTTTATGTCCCTATAGTTTGCACAATTTTGTATATCTCCTTTATTTTTAAGCAAATGTATTAATGTACTTTTACTCCATTGGTTTGGGCATTTTCTTACTGATTATGTTAAATAAGTTCGTAAGCCATTCAGTTCCAAATTTACCAAGGCATCTCCAAGCCTCTATTGGAATATAATCGGGACCTACAGCTTTGTCATCTTTCATTTTCTGCATTGCTTTCTTTACTTCTTTGGTGAATTTTTCTACAGTCATATTTGTATTTCTCACTTTCCTCTAATTTCCCTACCGATATTTCCCTATTATCTACCTCACTAAATAGTTTAGAAAAATAATCCTTTATTATTTTATTATCAACTAATACCTGTCAATTTTCATCTTTTAAGCATTTAATTTTCGTTAAGTGCTTTGTCTTCTTTTCCGTTTGCTTTGCAATTTTATAGATGTCCTTTTCTCCCTCCTTAGTATCTAATCTCTAATATAAGTTTTCAAAAGTTTATACATGTGGCATACCTCAAACAATTAAAATTTCACAAATAAAATCATATCAAATTTCAAGAGACCACCTCCTAATTGATGAAAAATACTAGAAATTTGTACAGGCACTCAAATCTCAATACCTCTTGCTTCCATCTGCCTTTTTGAGCCTCAGTTTCAGCATCACCGGTGCCTCCTTCGGGATTTATGACTTCTAGTCCTTCATAACCTAGCAAACTACAGTGGAAAGAAAAACATGTAAGAAAAGAAAAAAAAAAAAAAAAAAAAAAATAAAAAAAAAAAAAAAAAAAAAAACTTGCGTGCATATGTGTTGTGATATCATCTTATGTGTTCCAAACCCTCAATATAGCTATCACTGATTCCAGTACGGGTAATTAAACAGAATTGATCATCAGTGATAACAATCAAGAAGTCACTCGAGCATTATAAAAGGGATTCAAAGTAACAACAAAAGTGTCATGCATTCATTTCTTTACAATTGAGCCAATAGGTCCCCTAAACTTAGCCACTAAATTGGTTAGTCAAGCATGAGGGAAAAAAAACCAGAAATCCAGAAGGAGTACATGATATAATACACCATGAAGATGAAACATCAAATGTTCCAAATCCATACAATAATTAATAACCCTTGCAAGAGCTATCAGTAAGCCAAGCAACAAAAAGAATCCGAAAAATGTCAACTTTAACTAGATTCAAAAACCGAAAATCAACAAAGCACGGACACCCAACAAAAATCATTAACAAAAATTGAATCTTGCAAGAGCAAAGCAAAATCCAGGATGAGTACATGACATAAATAACCGATTGACAAATTCATACAATAATCAATAACCGATTGCAAGAACTGTCAGCAAGCTGACCAACCAAAAGAATCCCAAAAATGTCAACTTTTACTAGATTTAGAAACACAAAATCAAGAAATCACGGTCAACTAACAAAAATCAAAAACAGAGAAAAGTGAAATCCGAAATCCAGAACAGGTACATGATGTAATACATGAAGATGAAACGTCAAATGCTCTAAATCCATATAATAATCAATAATTCTTGCAAGAACTATCAGCAAGCTTCGCAATAAATAGCAGCACCAAAATGTTAACTTGAATCAGAAAGTGAAAATCATTAAAAAAAACTGAATCTTGCAAAAAAATTAAGAAGAGAGAGAAACTGGATCCAGAACAAGTACATGACACAACACACCTTGGAAATGAAACATCAAATGCTCTAAATCCATACAATAATCAATAACCCTAGCAAGAACTATTAGCAACAAGCCGAGCAAAAAATTTGAATCCCAAAAACGACAAATTATCAGATTTGGAAACCGAAATTCAACAAGACACGGACAAATAACAAAAAATCATAAAAAAAAAAAAAAAAAAAAAAAAAAAAAAAAAAAAAAAAAAAAAAAATCGAATCTTGCATAAAACAGAGAAAAGGGTCGAGGGATCGTATGGTACTGATAAATACCCATTAACAGATTTGGACATGGCGGAGAAGGTAGAGGCTATGGAGGCGAAAAAACCAGTTCCCTGTTTCTGACCGTCCATTGTAGTCACAATTCAAAATCACAAAATGCAAAATAATAAAAAATCAGGATTTAGAGCTGAAAATTTTCGCAGATAAAGAACGTGCAATTCAACTATGTATCAAAAGCCTTTCGAGGAATGCTTTTTTAGAGGCTTATTGTGTTTGAAAGTCAAAAACGACGTCGTAATAACGAAAGTTTTGTGCTTTTTCTTCTTCGTGTTCGGCTTTTACGAGGCCAAAAAGAAATCAGTCAACTATGGTTAAACAGTGCGTGGGCCAGAGAGTCCTTGTGAAATAGCCGAGATATTTCTGGTGCCTCTGATTTTCTTCTAGATGCTTTTTAATTTTTGGTTATTTCCTAAAAAATTCATAATACACATTTTTATTTTCTCCTCAATCCCCACCACTTTATTTTTTCCACTCCACTCCCTAATGTTAATTTATCTTTCCTCCCAACTCCCCATATAAATATTATTTGTATTATTATTGATTTATTTTGCTGATTAATTTATTTGAACAATTTCGCACTCTCTCTCTTCATTATCTCTCTCTCGTCTTCCCCTCTCTCGCTCTCTGTGAAATCACCGTGAAATCGCCGATCATTTCTCACTCTCTTGTGCATCGCCTATCATCTCTCTTTCTCTGTCTTGGTGCGTCGCGCGTCGCTGAAGAAGATTCCCTCTCCCGTCGCCATATCTCCGGGAAGCCCTCCGTCTCCGACCAAAATGCCGCGATCGAAAAAGTCGCCCGTCTCCAGGAAGCCCTTGGTATCGGACAAACCATCTTCCTCTTCCAAAGCTTCCAAAGCCGTAAGCAATGTTGATTTTTGGGGATTTTATTGAACTCGAAAATTTGGGGATATTTACAAAATTTTGATTTTTTGTTCTCGAATTGGATGTTTTTAAAAATTTGAGATTTTTTTTATGGTAATTCACTTCGAATTTGGGATTTTTGTGATAAATTATGGCTCTTTGCATGTAGGGTTCATATTTTCATTTTGAATTAGGGTTCATAATATTTTTTTATTTCGAATTAGGGTTCTTTACATGTAGGATTCATAAATTAGGGCTTCGAATTTGGGATTTTATTGATAAATTAGGGCTCTTTGCATCTAGGGTTCATAAATTAGGGCTTCGAATTTGGGAACTTATTGATAAACTAGGGCTTCGAATTTGTGATTTTATTGATAAATTCAGAAATTAAATGTTGCTGCTGTTGTTATTTGCGAAATTAGGGTTGAGGTGTTGTGAATTTTAGTTTGAATTGGTGTTTTAAATGTTGTTGCTGTTGGGATTTTATTGGTGTTTTTCATTTGTTATCAACTTTCTCATAACAAATTGATCCAGTGATGCTGTTTTCCATTTTGTTGCTGCTGTTTTCCATTTTATTCTGTATTCTATAATGTTGTTGCTGTTTTCCATTTTGTTCTGTAGATGCATTATTTGTGTTCTATATTTTGTGATAAGGCATTGATTTTAGAAGTCGATGTGCCCCATCTTACTTTAAGGATATGATGGACCGAACTCTTGTTGTGTTGTCTGATCAACACAAGCAGGCTCTTCAACGGAGCTCTTTCTATTTTTTTTGTTAACATGCCGGACATAGCCATTTCACATGGCAGAACTAAGGCTCTAATAAGCACATACACGGCAGAAATGAATGCCTTTGTTGTAGGTAATGGTTTGTGTTTAAAATTCGATCCGGCTGAGTTTTGTGTGACAATGGGGCTGCGGCAGTGTGGTCTAAGTGTAGACTTAGATCTGAATTTGGAGTCCAAAGCCCTATTCGATGGTTGGGGTCGGGTTGATAATAAGCTTTTGAAAAGAAAGCACGTTGTAGAATATTTAGAAAAATTTGATGTGGATGAAGGTCGCGTAGACGACTTCATTAGGATGTTCACTCTTTTTGTGTTTAGTTGTATATTATTTCCTTGTTCTAGTTTTTCCATTCCTAGGTTTGTTTACCCTTACCTAGAGAATGTGAGTCGAATTTGTGAGTATGCATGGGGTGATGCTACTCATAAATTCTTGGTTGCCGAGCTTGTTCGCCATAGTGAATCGAGAGAGAGATCATACTTTGATGGATGTGCAGTTGGATTGATGGTATATATATATATATGTGTGTTTCAATGTCTTAATACAATAATATTTAATTGTGAGATTGTGTAATTTTGAAATAATGTTTATGTGTAGGCTTGGTTGTACGAGCATGTGTCTTCTCTGGGCAAACGGTCCACGCTCGAGGCGATTCCCCGTCTGTTTCGATGGTCGGGGAGCAATTTGCCATCTACATTGGAAGGGTGTTTAAAATCCCTTCAAAAAATAATGAGGCATAAGGTAATTTATATAGTTTTATAGTATTATATTTTTCCTTCTTCTTCTTTTTATATTTTTGGTTAATCGATATTGTTCTTAAATCATTATGATTTGCTTTGCAGGTGTATTCGGTATCGCCTTTGTCTGCCGAGCGTGCTTTTGTGGAGACCCAGGTTTTCTTTAATTTTGGTCGACAATTTATGTTTCAACATTAAAAAAATTTCAATTAAACATGTATCTTTATTTTATGTTTCCTTTAATTTTTGTTTTTTCTTTCATGTACAGGGAACGGTCGAGACCCGTTTACTTGCCTTTGTTTGTCAGGAGAATGAGCAAAACTGTTGGAGAGCGAGTGGACACAAAAGAAGCAGGAAGAAGAAGAAAAAGAAAAAGAGAAAGATGAGGGGGTGGAAAAAGAGAAAGATGAGGAGGAAGAAAAAGAAAATGAGGGTGCTGATGGCGGTTTTGGCCCGATTGACTTTGAGGAAGAAGAGAAGGAGAAAGAGGAGGAAGAGAAAAAAGAAAATGAGAAAATAGAGGAAAAAGAGGAGGAGGAAGAGGAAAAACAAAATGAGGAAAAAGAGGAGGAGGAGGAGGAGGAGGAGGAGGAGGAAAAAGGGGATGATGAAAAGGAGGAAGCATGGGCTGTGGTGGTGTATGGAAATAAGCCAGATGATGAAAAAAATGAGTTTGTTGACTTGAACCAATTGGTGAACCTGGTGGTGGAGTCTGCCGGTTTGACGGGGGGGCTGAATGAGCCGAACTCTGAGCACGGGGCTCAGAGCTCACACCGACCAGCAGAGGAGGAGAAGCAACAGGCCTCCTCCATTGTGAAGAGGGTGCAAGAGAGGCAAGGGAGGAAAAAAAGAAAAAGGCGGTCGATTTCATGACCCCCCCGTCATCCGCTCCGAAGAGACAAAAGAAAAAAAAAAGTTGCAGTTGACTTCCGGGACTCATGATGTGGTAATTAAACTATTAATTTTATTTCTGTAATTTATGTTATTGTTCATGTTGTTTTCATATAAATAACTAATTATTTTGTTATGTAGGAGAGTGCCGAGAGTCATTCTCACGAGTCTTCTTTGATGAGGTTTATAAGGAGAGAGGACTTCTATGGCCATGATGACATTCAGGAAGAGAATCTTGGAGCCATCCGATCATTCCTGACGACCGATCGCATTAAGTAATAGAAATTATTTCAGCTCGTAATTGTTTCATTTATGTTATATTATACTAATCATAATTACAAATTTTCGTAGCGAAATTGTGTGGAGCAATGAGAGAGTAATAATCCGAGGAAAATTGATGATCGATCTTTTGTTTGGAAATGAGTTGAATTCTCAACTCGATGATTGCTTCATGGAGATCCTGCGTGCTCGCCATCCTCGTATTCGCTTTGTGCCGACTTATGTTCAGGTACTATCTTTTACTATACTCTATTAATTTTACTGAAATTGCTAAGAAAAATATTTAATTTGTAGAAAGATTTGTTGAATGCGGTGGATAAAATAAAAACAAGAACCGCTTGGAGAACTGAAGATTACGCTCTGTGTGCTTCTAATCTGACTAAAAGTAGTGTTGTCATGCTCGATGAGATGGTCCGTTCCTTGTTTGGTGCGAAGTATGTGTTCTTCCCCGTGCTGCATAATTCTCACTTCTTCTTGGTCATCTACAAGGTTGAAGAAGAAAAATTTGTGTACCATAACTCGATGGATACACCGAGGTACCGAGGAGCTGGGAAACGTGTGATAAGTGTTATTGACATTTTAAACTTTGTTTTGTAGTTATTATTTATGTTCTTTCGAATTAACTAGTCACGTGTTTTGTTGTATTTTTTTTTTTTTAATAGGTCAAGTTCCTCGCAGGATATCTGAGTTTGAAACTTCGACGTGACATAAATCCAACCACAAGTTGGACATTAGGATACCTGAGGCAACAGAGCGGGATGAAGGACTGTGGAGTTCACATGTGCATGGCAATGGAATGTTACGCCGTCGATACTCGAGAATTTTCGAATGCCCAAAATACTTGTTCAGCCGATGCCTACCGAGCACGGATGGCAACACTCATCCTTAGAAATCCTCCTTGTTGACAGGTTGTTTGGCAGTTGGTTGCCATTTGTTTAAATTGGATGTTTTGGAGTGTAGTATGATGGTTTAACTTTGATTGATGGCTGATTGTGGACAAAGTGGATGATGGTGTGATGTTGTGATGTTTTGGATGATAGTTTGTGGGTTGTGAACAAGTAGACTGTTCAGTTTGATTGTTTGATGGATGAATGGAATGTTATGGATGATGGTTTGTGGACTAAGTAGTTTGAATGGATGTGTTGGATTTTTTGATTTGATTCCTAACGATACCTGTTTTCTTAATATTAGTACCTCATTTTTTGTGTAAAAGTACCCATTTTCCATTAGCTAGTACTCATTTAAGGATGTGTTTTTAAACTATATACCAGTTTCTATTCATAGTAGTACTTATTTTCTTCACAATCGTACCCGTTTTATATTGTTATAGTACCGAATATTAGCTCATCGGTACCACTTGTAACGAACACATAAAACACTGAATTTCGGTCTCAAATGATGTTTACATGACAAATAATCACTCTCACACCAGTTTGTATGAGATTTATAACGTGTTTAATTGAGTTTAATCGCAAATTAGTCAAGAATTCAACACACTAATGAAAAAATACTACCTGCTACCATCTCATTAAATGGTACCAGTTTTGGGAAAAATAGTACCGCTACTTCTAGTACGCAGTACCTGTTGTTTATCAATTAGTATCAACTTGGTTTCAACGAAAATCCCTTGATCAATTGTGGTCAACATATGCAATAATTGGTACCAGACATAGAACACAACAGTACCAATATTCTGAGTTTTGGTACCGATTATCATAACGTTAGTACCACTTATGAACACATAAAAACAGTACAACACCTCATTAAAACTGTACCGGTTGTGGCCAAAATAGTACCGCATAT